CGCAGCCCATACCGCGGCCCCCACCTGAGGGAGATCCTGCGGCTTCAGCCCAGGACTCCTACACCACCTACCTTGACCATGACACTGGTTGGACATGGGTCTACGCTGCCACGGACGGTGCATGCACCAACCAAGCCATCCCATTGCTAGCACGAGCGGGCTACGGCGTCTACTACGGCATCGACCACCGCATGAACTACAGTGCACGCGTTCACGGCATTACGCAGAACGCACAGCTTGCGGAGACCCTCGCCATTGTCCACCTCACGGCATGTGCTGAACGGCCCGTACACGTTTTCGTGGACAACCAGGCGGTGGTCGATGGGTTCCAAAGTATCATCGACGGACACTCACCACCGCAGGGCACGCACGTGGAGCTCTGGGAAAAGATCCACCGATGCGTCATGGCCAAGCCCAACATGTTCCGCGTCGAGAAAATCGCAAGCCACCTGGGCGACATGGGCATCGACCTCGGGCTCATCGGGCCCATCGCGGAGGAGTTCAATCGTCAGGCTGACGCCCTCGCCACAACGGCGGCACGTACTCATAACCTTCCAGACGACACTGTCGAAGCTGCCAAAACACGACATCGCCAAGCGACCGTGCTTCATGGAGTCGCTGTCGCCATATACGAGCGTAGACACCGCACACTCCCCCTCCCACACCGCAGGGCTGGGTTTACAGCTGCGGAACTCAACAAAATGGAACCAAACCCCCTGCTGTCTGACCAGGCACCACCCGCGGCTGGACCAGACATCCCACAGAACCCGGACGAGCTCTGGGCCGAGGCCCAACGGGCGATATTCGACGAACAGGAGGACGACCCGTTCGGCTTTGGCGGGGGCCTTGACTTCCTAGGCGACGGGCCAGCCAGCGCCAACCTTGCCCCGTCGGGCACCCGCACGTCGCCCTCGACTCCGCCACTGAGAGCGGCATCGCACCCACATGACAACGCCGCTCACCTTCAAGACGCTGACGAACAGGAGGACGACCTGTTCAGCTTCGGTGGGGGATCGGACGCTTTGGACGACGGACAAGTCAGCGAAAACCCTGCCCCGTCGGGCAACCTCTCGACGCCTACCGCGACTCCGTCCCCGAGAGCGACATCGCCCCCATACGATGATATCGGCCACCGCCAAGACGCCGACGACGACCTGGGTGACCCCCGCGGACTGAGTGGCATAGACGACGCACCGCCGACACCCCACGCTGCCGACCATGCCGCTCTACCGATACGCCACCCTTCTACGCGGCCGACCTCAGAGCCCTCGCACGGCATCATGATTGGTCCCACCGCGCAAACCACTCCGCCCCCCCACCAGCGGCAGCCCGCGGGGGCGGCTTCAGCCCCCCCGCAGGGCACTGAACCAGACAGGCCCTCGCGCCCCGTCCGCGCTTCCATCGTTGCTGAGCGAGAGGATGCGGCTCTCCCGACCTCTCGGGGCGTGGCCCTAGCGGCTCCAGCCCTGGGGTCGCGTGTTCCCCCCCAGTCACCTTTCAAGGGTGACGGACGACAGCGTACAGGGTGCCGCACTACGCTAGTCCACCATCTGGACAGGCGCACCGAGGACCTCGCCTCTGTCTCGAGGCCCTCGGCCGCTGGCATTGAGCAGCCACCCCTCACCGACCGCGAAACTGAGCTGTCCCAGGCCATGGCTGCTCTCCAGCAGAGGTGCGTTGCTCTCGCCGCGGACCTCGCCGCCGCCCAAGCTCGCCAAGGTCCTCTACTCCAGCGCCTCCACAGCGCCGGGCGAGCCTTCGCCGAGCTGCTCACGCCCTCGCCCGATGGTGCCGTGCCGTCACTCACCATCCAAGCTATGCTGTCATCGTTCCGCGGCGCTCCACCTGGTGCCCCGCGCTAATCTCCTCCTTTCTGCCTGCCCGTGTGCACGCGTGGCTCCGCGTCCACGGTGTCAGGGCGTGGGGGCGGGGGGTGCCCCGTCACTGCGCGCCGCTTTGCGGCCAAGCGCCCAACTGGCGGTCTGCCAAGCCGCCTAGCCACGTGTCAGCACGTCGCCTTTCTTGTTGGGGCCTCTTTCTTTACGCGGTCTGACAGGTGAGATCATCACCGTCTGTCCGCCGTCTGTAGCGTCTGTCGCACTGCGCCGGGGGAGGGGGTCTTTTTTGTTGCCCGCCCTCGTATCTAAAGGCTGCACCGCCGCAAATAGTGTTTAGCGAGTTGTCGCACCGCAGTGCGCCTCGCGGACGGACCCTGGTCCGCCTACTTGTCCGCTCTCTCTCTCTCTCTCTCTCTCTCTCTCTCTCTTCCCTCGCTCTCTCTCTCTTTCTCTCTCTCTCGCTTCTCTCTTCTCTCTCTCTCTCTCTCTCTCTCTCTCTCTCTCTTTCGCTCTCTCGCTCTCTCTTGCTCTCTCTCGCTCTCTGTCGCTCTCTCTCGCTCTCTCTCTCTCTCTCTCTCTCTCTCTCTCGCTCTCGCTCGCTCTCTCTCTCTCGCTCTCTCTCGCTCTCCCTCGCTCTCTCCCGCTCTCTCTCTCTCTCTCTCTCTCTCTCTCTCTCTCTCTCTCTCTCTCTCTCTCTCTCTCTCTCTCTCTCTCTCTCTCTCTCTCTCTCTCTCTCTCTCTCTCTCTCTCTCTTCTCTCTCTCTCTCTCTTCTCTCTCTCTCTCTCTCTCTCTCTCTCTCTCTCTCTCTCTCTCTCTCTCTCTCTCTCTCTCTCTCTCTCTCTCTCTCTCTCTCTCTCTCTCTCTCTCTCTCTCTCTCTCTCTCTCCTCTCCCTCTCTCTCGCTTCCTCTCCCTCTCTCTCTCTCGTCTCTCTCTCTTGCTCTCCTCTCTCGTCTCTCTCTCTCTCTCTTTCTCTTCCTTCTCTCTCTCTCTCTCTCTCTATCTTCCTCTCTCCTCTCTCATCTCTCTTCCTCGCTTCATCTCTCTCTCTGCTCTCTCTCTCTCGCTCGCTCGCTCGCTCGCCTCTCTCTCTCTCTCTCTCTCTTCTCATCTCTCTCTCTCTCTCTCGCTCGCGCTCGCGCTCTCGCTCGCGCTCGCGCTCGCGCTCGCGCTCGCGTTCGCGCTCGCGCGCGCTCTCTCTCTCTCTCTCTCTCTCGCTCTCTCCCGCTCTTTCTCTCTCTCTCTCTCTCTCTCTCTCTCTTCCCGCTCTCTCTCTCTCTCTCTCTCTCTCTCTCTCTCTCTCTCTCTCTCTCTCTCTCTCTCTCTCTCTCTCTCTCTCTCTCTCTCTCTCTCTCTATCTCTCTCTCTCTCTCTCTCTCTCTCTCTCTCTCTCTCTCTCTCTCTCTCTCTCTCTCTCTCTCTCTCTCTCTCTCTCTCTCTCTCTCTCCTCTCTGCTCTCTTCGCTACTGGCTTCTGACGGAGTCTGGGTTAGGTGAGCCTGAGTGTGGGTGAGTCTGAGTATGGGTACGTCTGTGTGTGCCTGACTCTGAAGAAATGAATCTGAGTGTGAGTGAGCTTGTGTATGAGTGAGTCTGGGTGCGAGTCTGAATCCCAATGGTGCCCCTGGCAGTGTCTGGCGACTAGGAGGCCCGGGTCGACTCCTCTTTGGGAAGCCAAAATGCTGCCCCTGGCAGCGTTTGGTGACTATGAAGCCCCTGGTGGACCCCCCCTGGGGCTCCCAAATGATGCCCCTGGCAGCGTTTTGTGACCATGAGGCTCTCAAGAGATACATGTTGGGGACGCCAAACGGCAATTCTAGCTGAGGCGTCCCACCAAAATCGGCGCGAACGGGCTCGTGATATCAGCCAGGGTGGCTCCCCCTTGGGGCTCCCAAATGATGCCCCTGGCAGCGTTTTGTGACCATGAGGCTCTCAAGAGATACATGTTGGGGAGGCCAAGCGGCAATTCTAGCTGAGGCGCCCCACCAAAATCGGCGCGAACGGGCTCGTGAGATCAGCCAGGGTGGCTCCCCCTTGGGGCTCCCAAATGATGCCCCTGGCAGCGTTTTGTGACCATGAGGCTCTCAAGAGATACATGTTGGGGAGGCCAAACGGCAATTCTAGCTGAGGCGTCCCACCAAAATCGGCGCGAACGGGCTCGTGAGATCAGCCAGGGTGGCTCCCCCTTGGGGCTCCCAAATGATGCCCCTGGCAGCGTTTTGTGACCATGAGGCTCTCAAGAGATACATGTTGGGGAGGCCAAACGGCAATTCTAGCTGAGGCGTCCCACCAAAATCGGCGCGAACGGGCTCGTGAGATCAGCCAGGGTGGCTCCCCCTTGGGGCTCCCAAATGATGCCCCTGGCAGCGTTTTGTGACCATGAGGCTCTCAAGAGATACATGTTGGGGACGCCAAACGGCAATTCTAGCTGAGACGTCCCACCAAAATCGGCGCGAACGGGCTCGTGAGATCAGCCAGGGTGGCTCCCCCTTGGGGCTCCCAAATGATGCCCCTGGCAGCGTTTTGTGACCATGAGGCTCTCAAGAGAGACATGTTGGGGAGGCCAAACGGCAATTTTAGCTGAGACGTCCCACCAAAATCGGCGCGAACGGGCTCGTGAGATCAGCCAGGGTGGCTCCCCCTTGGGGCTCCCAAATGATGCCCCTGGCAGCGTTTTGTGATCATGAGAGAGTGTGAGTGTGAGTGAATGTGACTGTGAGTGAGTCTGAGTGAGAGTGAGTCTCATCTTATCTTATCGAGTCCTATCTTACCTTACCTTTATTACCCTCTATATTATCTTATCTTATCTTGAAATCTCTTATCTTGTCTTAGCTTATCTTATATCAACTCATCGTATCGCATCATATCTTGTCTTATCTTATTACTCCATAGGCTGTCTTATCTTATATATTATCCTACCTTGTCATACATCGTATATTACCTTATCATATATTGTGCTATCTTATCTTATCTTGTAGTATATTATATTGTCCTGTCTTATCTGGTGATTATCATTGGGAGAAGGGAGGCGCGAGCGGGAGGAAGGAGTCCGCGCGTGGGAGGGGTCAGAGTAATAACAAGAACCCCAATCCTTAGGATATGGGGAAAAAATACCGAGATCCCACCTCGAACTTGGTCGGCCCGTCGCCAGGCGAGAAGCCCACCTCTGAACAGGACCCCGATGAAGTTGAGATAACTGCTGCGGCTGAAGCGGAGCCGCGGGTCCATGTAAGAACCGATGTGCTCGAGACCACGCTCCACCTCCGCTCCCCACTGGCTGTCGTCCTTGATCAGGTGGGTGTCAAAATCTACGATCAGCTTTGCGGCGTCCAGCGGCAACACCTCGGCAAGGGGCACGGGAACTCGCCCGTCACCGGGGATAGCCAGAGCACGGTCGTAGGGAACCACTGTCAAGTCATCGTCCCCGCCATAAGGGGCTCTGCTGCCGAGAAGCGCACGCATGGCTTCCTCGTCTGAGACCGCCTGAGGCGGCGGCCGAAAAGAATTGATGGTCTCGTACAGGTGGTCAACGGTGGCCCGCTGCCCAAGAGAAGAAAACTTGGCATTGGCGGTGGAAGAACCCACGAGCCAGTTGAGGGCCCAAATGCTCTCACTCACCTCGTCCGTGAGCCGACGTCGTCCTTGGACTCGCTGCCGAACTCCTCGGGAGAGGTGGGAACCAGCGATCGGCCCCTGAGGCACATACGGTAGAGGAAGAATCTCCCGCGGGACGTCACGCTCCTCAGCGACGACTCCAGCGAGAGAGCCCAGCCGCGTGGCCGGGAGCGCCCTAGATCTCGGCCCGACCCTCGGGCCGCGGGAGGGGCCATCGCCGTTCATCATGAATGATCGCCGCCCTGGCCCTCCTTCTTGGGGCCTTTGGGCGGCCTCCTCAAACGAAGCTCCTCATTGTGCTTGCGCAACTCCTTATATACCGACGCCTTGTCGCGAGCCTTCTCAGCCACGTGCTTGACCAAAGTTGGGGCCACCAGAGCCCTGCCACGGCCCGGCCCCCAGCCCATGAAGTCGTCGGCCCCGGTGTAGTCGGGGCTGCCAGGAGAATTGAGGTGCGCCTGCTCGATCAGCATGGCACGCCTCCCGAGCGCCTCCAGAGAGACCAGCGCGGGGATGTTGAGCTGGTCGACCCCGGCCGCCAGCTCGAGAACCTTCATGATGTAGAAGTGCTCGTGCACCGAGCGGTCGCCACTCGAGTTCAGCTGGTGGGCCCAGTTGTAATGACGCTGGACGGGGCCGCCCTCTCCACTTCGAGCGATCTCCTCCAGGTACCAGAGAATTGAAGCCTCCCCCTCGAGAGGGGGGTCGCCGTAGTCGTGATGCTGCATCAGGTCGACGGCCTCCACAAAGCGATGACGGCGGGCGTTGTTTCGTTATACCACTGGGAGGGTCCGCGCGTCGGCGTCCTCGTCGATCGAGTCGGCGGCGGCGGAGTAGCACTGCAGGGCCCCCCCAGGAGTCACCACCATCATGGCGTCAGCATCGCCCTTCTTCACGTGAGTGAACTGATGGCCCTCGACCGCCGACGGATACTCGGCGCCACGACTGAAAGACTGATCTGATGAAAAGGCTATCCGCCAGATCTTCCCACTCGCAGCGGGAGGAGGCGACTTGGACAAGAGAGCGCCCCCATGGCCTCCTTCCTTGCGCCCCTCCTCGTCGGCCACCGCCTTGGCACGGAGAAAGAGAGGCGCATCGAGGGGGCCTTCCCGCCGACCAGCTCCGAAGCCACATCGTGACACCGGGTCGGGGCCTCGCCCAAACATCGTTCCAGTCACCTCTCCTCCGGCGTCAAGCAGCCGAAGGGCCTGTAGGTCCCCAGGCACGGAGAGATCCTGCGGGCACACGTCGCCGTCCACTGTCAGAATCCACCAGAGCCAATTGTTCACTGGAGGGTCCTCGCCGTGGATCCTCCGGTAGCACGTCTCGGAGCTCTTGCGGAGGATGCTGGCCTCGTGCCATAGGTTCGGCTCGCCCCCGCACAGGAGAAGCACCTTTTGCCCGACGTGCAGACCAGGCTTCGCAACACCAGCGACAGCCATTGCGAACAAAGACAAGAGAAGACCAGATAAGACCTGCCACCGCGCGCGCATAGAAGGCCAGGCTCCCCAGGATAGCCGTCACCAACTCGACGTGCCAGGGCACGCCCGATCGCAGCGCCTCTGCGCGCCCAGCGGCCCGCCGCTCGCGCTCACGCCGCTGCTCGTGGAGCTCCGCCAAGACCTCGCTGAGGTCGGGGCAGATCGCGGGGCAGCTGCCGCTCCAGCGCGGCGCCGGAGCAGGGGCGGCGCAGCTTGCCGCCAGGGGCGCGTCACTCGGCGCGCCAAGCCAGACGCGGAGGGGCGATGGGGCCAACCAGGCTCCTGCGAGGGCCGCCAGAAGGACCCGTCCGAGCCCTGCGGAAGCATTTCACCCTGAAAAACTTGAGCCGTGGGATTGCGGAACGGAAGACAGGCCCACGGCGACGCACGCATGAGACGGCCCAGGCACCAGGAGCACCCCATCCTTCAAGCACTATATAGACGTTTCCTTGCGCGGCTGCCCTGAGAATCTGCCAGGGCCGACCTGCCGACCGTACTGCTCCCGCGGGAGCGAGCTGCAGGCCCCCAGCCTCTCTCCCTCCTTCGATTGAAACCACCGCCCTCGCCCCGCCAACCTCCACATCCTCGCCGTCACCCCTGCACGTGTTCCTATCATAATTTCCTCTCCTTTCCCTTCTCTAATTTCCTCTCCTTTCCTTTCTCTGAGAATTAGCACGCGAAGCTGGCCGCTGCATTAATACAGAAGGGCCGCCCACGCTGCGCCTGCCAATTTCTCGCCCCCCTCCCCCCTCGATCCGGTTCGATCCGTGCAGCGAGGGCTTGGCGCGGGGACGTGCGCCGACACGCGGCTAACGCATGCGCGTGCAACTTCGAGGATGACGACCCACCCTCCTACTCCATCCTCCCACCTCGTCCCCCGCATCGCTCGCCCGATGCAGCGACACGTACCCAGGGACGCAGTACGAGATCAGACCAATTTGCAACCATACGCTTGGGGAAGAGCCCTCATCCTCCTCCACCTCCTCCTCGCGGCCGCTGTCGCGAAAACGGCCCATTATGTGGCCGCCCTCCAGACCCCAGACCTCCTGGCGTCGTGAAAAAATCACGACGGGCGTTTTTTTCGCTATGTTCGGCCTCTGGGTGCTCTCACTGGGCCTCGGGAGCGACAGACCTCTGGGGGTCGACGTTGTGAAAAAATCACGACGTCGGGGGTCTGGGCGCGCGATCACAGGATGTCGCCCGACGCAGCGCCACGTGGTCACAGATGCGCACGAGATGAGCGCCACCGACATTGCGACCATGAGCGTTTGGAAATAACGCCCATCCCCTCCACCTCCTCCTCACCCGGGATCTCTACCTCTCTCCGTCGATTAACACCACAATTGGTCGACGCGCGTGGCCGCATCATCGTGCATGGTGGTTATGACCGACGCTTGCTCTTGACGGAAAACGGCGGTCGTCCGCGCGGTGCTCGGGTTTCCCTTACGCGTTTTTGTTCCAAGGTTTTTTTGTTCCAAGGGTGTTTTTTTTCCGCCCTGGCCCCGACCCAGGATCCTGGGACCAAAAAGCACACCCCCCTCGAATTGCACCACGCAGTGTCGTCTCCGTGCACGCATGCCTGCGAATGGTGTGTATATAGCATTGAGGGGTGCATGTTTCTTCCTCTCATCTCTCGATCCTATAAGTTTAGCCTAGGGCTCGCTCGCCTCGCGCACGATTCAGCGGCGCAGGGAGCGCGGACTGAATGGCCTGCACGCCATTATGCACTACGCGCCACACGCATGCGGATGAAAAGTGCGGGCGTCCTATATATAGACGTGTGTGTATATATATAATATATAAAGATCCTCATTCTATTCCTCCACAACTATTTGAGTCGATCCTGACGCTGCAGAACGCGGCGTTGGCGCGTGAGCGGCATCATGCTGCCGTGCACTATTGCATATGTTGCAGAAGAGAAAGGAAAATGAATGGGGCCGCTGCGCGCCCGTCTCCGCTCCTCCATGAGCAGACCCCTCGAATGCTGCCACGATTGCGTATCTCGATCCTGCAGTGCGCAGCTTCGATCGGGACGCCCACCCCGCTTCACCATCGCGGACGTTGCGCACTAATGCATGCCAAGTGCGCGCCCCGCCACCCTCCATCCTCCTGCCATGGCTATTGTGGTTCAATATTGGTCGGCCCAAGCTGGCACTGGCCCGTAGGCCCTGTCAAAGATCGTCTTATGACAGAAAACAATGCAAACGCACCATGAAACCCAAAAACACGACAACGCCAACTTACGCAAAAACGCACTACATGCCTTTGCCTTGTTTTTCTCGCAACGTCTTGAAACGAGAACACAACAAGAACTGGCGTCTTGAAAAAATTGCGACTGGAGGATGTCTGGGTAGGGGAACAAACGAAGCTCCTCGGGGCTGAGGACGTCGTCGCGCAGCCACCTGCAGGTCATGAGGACGCTCTGGAGTTCGTGGGTGTACATGGGGGCCCCGGGGATTGGTATCCATCGGTCCCCTCGCTGCGGGAGGAGCACCTTGACCGGCTCGTCGGCTTGCTGCTCGGCCTGCCTGGACTTCTTGACCCTCCTGGGTGGTTCCTTCTCCTCCTCTTCCTCCTCCTCTTCTCCTTCGTCTCCCCCAGGTTCGTCGCCTCCACCGTCTCCTCCAGGGCCTGGTGGCGGTGCTCCTCGGACGGGGTCTCTCTTCCTCGCTTTGTTGCGTTTCCACCCTCCTCTCTTCTTGCCCCTGTTCGCGCACTGCCATCCCTTGGGCCCTGCTGGGTAGTCTTCCTCCGCCTCTTTCTCCATGACTGGCACGTCCTGGAGGCGAAAAAGAGGGGGGGGTCCGCCAGGTGACCCCTGTCGCCGGCCTCCGCCGCCATCTTGCCCCCGGCCCGCATCGCGACGATGGGCTCGAGCTTCTCCAGGAGCTTCGCGGGGGGGGGGCCCCGCCCCCGCGGCCTTGACGACTTCGGCCCAGGCAGCGCACAGCTTCGTCGGGCACTGGCCGGCGCAGCGTGTGCGTCGAAGTCCGCGTTGACCGACCTGGAAGCCGAGGGTGCTCAACTCCTCCCGGAGGGCCTTGGCCAAAGAGGGGGCCCCGCTGGGGACGCGTCCTCCACCCTGCAGGTGCGGGGGGGGGACCGGTGCGAGATCTTGGCCACGAAGTTGTTGGCTTGGTCGCGCCCGCAGTAGAGAGCCGCAGTGCCCTCCGGGAGGTCCTCGAAGGCTTTCCCGGCGCGTGGCTCGACGCGGCTCCAGTGGAAGCTCGCGGGCCCCAGCTTGCCAACGAGGTCGTTCAGAGGGCGCAGCAGCTCGGGCCCGAGCTGCGGGGTCTCCAGGGCTTTGGCGCCCACGGCGAGACCTTGGGCATGCACGCCCGCGAGGGCCAGCCGATTGGTCAGGCTCAAGATGTCCTTCTGCTCAGAAGGGCTGAGGGTGGGCCCGGAGGAGTTGTAGTAGTCGATCTGGGTCTGGGTCAGGTCGTAGGGGAGAGGCCCTTCCAGGGCGACGTGCTCGTGCTGATTGGTGCAGCGCCTCGCCAGAGAGAGCGCCCAGGGGTAGAGACCTTTCGAGACCATCCAGAACGTCAGCTTGCGGCGCCGCTTCGCGGGCTCCTCCGGGGGCCCGAGTCCCCACTCGCACATGGCAACAGGTATGATTATGGCCCCTGTGCGCTTCTGCAGCTGCTTGATCCTGGCCCGGTCCCAGATCTTCGGGCAGCGCCCGTCGCTGGCCGTGTTCTCGAGCATCCACTCCCGATCGTTGGCGTCGAGGCGCTCGCAGAGGTCGGCGGCGAAGTCCGTCATGATGTTGCTCTCGATCTCTGCCTGGACGGTCCCGTCGCCTTCCGGGTGCTCGAACGTGCGAGTCCCGCCAGTCTTGAGGCACCAAGCCGAGTGGGTCGTACACGGTGGGGCCAGCTGGTAGACATTCGCCTCGTCGGGCCCTGGTGCGGCTCCAGCATCAAGAAGGAGCCGTTATCGCACCTGTGGGTCGAGGATGTTGTGCTCATCCTGCGGCCCGGCCTGGGCCAAGGGTTCCTGGAAGTACTCGACGGACGGGGCTGTCTGGAGCCCAGCGTCTCGCATCGCCTTCGTCCAATTCCCAGTGCCCGCGAAGATCTCGCGGGTGCGAATGCCCCACGCGAACCCAGGAGTGCAAAATGACATTAAATATGTTATAAATCCTTGCCACCTTCAAAAACAACCATGATACATTTTTGACAAGAAAAAATGTAACAGAATGTGCGTTACATTTTTCACACTATATGTATATGCTTGTTTGTTGTTTTAGTGTTTTTTGCTTCAGAAATCGGTGATGCCCATATGCCCGCATAGACATGATTTCAAAATCGTGCTCTCGCCGTCAGCGCCATCGCCCCCGTCCCCCCCTCCACTGCGCGCACGTGCGCCGAGAGCTTTATTTTTGCCCAAGGGCTTCCCCTCGCCCGCATTCGAGGCGCGAGTGCGCCCGTGAGGGCCGCGAGGGCCCTCCAGGGGCCATGTCGGAGGAGGATCTCGACGCGGCGGCGGCGCCGCCGCGCGGCAAAGGCGGGGGAAGAGGATGAAGGAAGGATCGGTCGTATGTCGTCGTCGGTCGTTCGTCGGTCGTTCGTCGTTCGTCGGTCGTTCGTCGGTCGTCGATCGTTGGTCGATCGTTCGTCTGTAGTCGATCGTTCGTCGGTCGTCATTCGTCGGTCGATCGTCGGTTCGTCGATCGTTCGCCGACGTCGCCGTGGACGTTCCGAAAGGAGGAGGGGGTCGACGACGGCGGCGAGGAGGGATTGTCGCCAGGCGACTCGATGATGTTGGCGACGGCCGTCCTCCCCATGCTCCAGCGGGCCGGGAAGCCGAGCTTCATATTATACGGGGAGGACGGCCGCAACTCGCCGCTGCAGATTGATAGGTTCACCGAGCCCGTCGTCCAGTTTTTCGGAGAAGTGATCAGGATTGCGCAGGGGGATGAAAATAGCAATTAGGCGAAATGAGTGAGGACAGGGTGAACATGAGATGAGGATGTTGATGATAAATGAGATGAGGCGGAGGCGGTAGCAGGATGAGAAGGAGGATGACTATGAGGAGAAGGAGTCGATCAATGACGAGTGACGGGAACTTCGGGAGGGTGGGGGGGTAGCTCCCAGGAAGAAGCAGTGCAGCGTCTCCGACCTGAAGATTAATGACATTGAGATGCAGGGGGCGCTGCACCAGGGGGCGCTGGCAATCGGGTTCGGGTTCAGCGACAGAGACATGTCAGAGTGGAAGCGGACCATGAGCAAGCGGATTCGCACCATGGTGTGCCATATCAGGACAGAACGCGAGAGAGACGATGGCGGGAGAGGATGAGGAACGGATGGAGGAAGATTAAAGGAGAGCAGGTAGGGATTACGATGAGATGAGCAGGAGAGAGAGGGAGAAAGAGAGATAGAGAGATG